CGCATTTTATTGACACTGAGATGAGTATGTAAATTTTGTTTAACATACAACTGCTTTTTAATAATTGAACACAAACAGTTAAACAGTCAAACACAGGAAATGTATCAAGCAGACCAGAGGTCAAGATGGCAAATGTTGACATTGGGACAAGCTCATAATGTACAGCAGGGGTGCTTTTTTTCCTAAAGAGAAAATTTAAAGGTCCCATGAAATGCTTAGAAATGCAATAGTATCTGGATGCAGCAGGGCCGGAGTGGGACTCCTTTTCAGCCCTGGAGTTTCAAGCCTTAGACTGGCCCACCTCAGTTTACGACTGACTATATTAAAATAAGGTCATTTACAATTCAGTTTTTAATGACACTTTCACGTCTTTTTCAAGAAAACAGCTGCTTTAGAACTTCAAATGTTCAACAAGCTTAAAGTTTGATTTGTCTTAACAATAAAAATGAAAAAAAAAATCATTAACAACTCACAAGAGGATCGAACAGAGATTGACATCGTCATAACACAACGTGCTGACCACTGGACCACAATGGCGGTGTTACAGATGTGTGGCCGGAATGATAGTTATATCATCATTACCCTGCAGGCTGCATTTTGCTCACTGGGCTGCGAGACAATAAATAAGAAGAGCGGAGCTGCGGCAAAATAATGATTAAAAAGAGTGAGGCTATGGTCAAATAAATAAATAAATAAATAAAGTGCGACTGCTGAGAGTGCAAGCAGCTAGAAACACCGGCCCTCTTGGCCAAAAAATGGACCGGCACACCGGGAACTCTCCCGGTTCTCCCGATTGGCCAATCTGGGCCTGGGATGCAGCCATTATGATGCAAGCTGAGATTGCATCACACTGTAAAAAAAAACCCTAATTTTACAGAAAATATCCCTAATTTTTTACAGTAATTTTTTGTAATTTAAAATTATATGTAGAACTTAGTAAAATGACAAACAATCTCTCTAAATTCACAGTTTGACTTTCATTTTAGGTACTTTATCATTAAAGATAAATTACTGACATTTAGGGGTTTTTTTATACAGGGAAATTACAGTATTATTTATACAGTATTTTTTCTGTTATTTTAAATTATATTCAAAAATCCATAAAAATTACAAACAATATCTGCAAATTAACAGCTTGACTGTTATTTTATGTACTATATAAGTAATGACAAATTACAGCAATTTGTCTGTTTTTAACAATAAAATTGCTGTATTATTTACACAGTGTTTTTTCCTGTTTTTTATGAAGTACTTTTAAAATTACGTAAAATTAAAGTAATAAATTGTAATTACTTGCTCTGTAAAAAAAAAAAAAAAAATTAAAAATCTTTAAAAAAATGTCAAATGACTGGCCAAACAAAAACCATAAAATTATGGTAAAACTTCTTTGTTGAAATAAAGCGCAAAAAATAATAAATCTACAGATGTTTTCATTAAAATGTTTACAGAAAAACACTGTTATTTTACAGATATTTCCTAGATTATTATGATCAAATCCGTTCAATAAAGTTACACACTAAGTGCGCTCACATGCACCTGTTCCGGATTCCGCTGATTGTCGGAGGATCGTTATGAACTGATTACATGCACTTTAAAAGCAGCATAGACCAATTGCTTAGTCTTGTTATACTGTTACTTTAAACATTATGACGCGTTTCTCTTCTTTTGCCTTGCTTTGTTTGTTAATTGTTTACGTTGTTTGCTGCTGGGACTGACCATTTGCCTGTTATTTGACCATGACTCTGGATTCCTTGCATAATATTACATCTGTTTGCCCCTGTGTTGACTGTTGTTTGCCTGACCATCTCTGTGTAATAAACCTGCATTTGGATCTGCACTCCTTTGTCAACGTCTCCTTCACGTTACAGTTCCATTTCATTTAAGATCTGTAACTGAATCATTCCATATAACTTAAACCTCTACATGTTTTACACAAACACTATTCAATAAAATGTAACAACTGTGATTTTCAAGTTGTGAGAATTTTAATCAGTTGTATCTCGTTTGTTATTTTTTCCAAAAAAATTTTGATCCAAAATAAAACTGTTAAATTACGATCATGAGCATGTCTTGGCATTTTATTAAAGGTGTTTAATTGTAATGATTTAGGGAAAATTCTTTCAAATATCATTATTTTCTCTTGAACTTTTAGTGCAGTCATTTTATTGATGGTGTTTGATCATAATAATCTAGGAAAAGTCTGTGTTTGTAAAACTCTTAGTGTGTAAAATAACAGTGTTTTTCTGTAAACATTTTAATAAAAATATCTGTAGAATAATATTTTTTGCACTTTATTTCAACAAAGACATTTTACCGTAATTTTATGGTTTTTGTTTGGCAGCCGTAGCTGCCAGTCATTTGACCTTTTTTTTACAATTATTTTTCCTACAGTGCACTCAGCGATGCAATGTTGGACTCAATGCACTCAATGGAGTGAGTGACATCATTGTGACGGGTAGGGTAAGGGGGAGGGGTAAGTGAGCGCATTAAAAAGCATTGGATACATCTCAGATTGCACTGCACCAGGTCTGCATCCAGACCCCTCTCCAGAAATGTGCATTTTTTCCATGTTTGATCTAATCTCAACTGAAACGTGAAGCAAGGGTGGAACAAATACTACCTCATCCCCTTTGAAAAAAACAGCCAATAGCATATTGTTTTATCACAGCTCTGCCAGTAAGAGTGGTTGAGCTTAAGCCTATGAAACGTGAATCGTCTTAAAGGGGGCGGGGCATCTTAGATACTAGTAGAGAGTATTTAATTGGTCAAGATTGGATGAGAAACTGAAGTATGAAGTGACATGGACAAAACTGTTCATCCATTAAGGAGAAAGTAACAACCAGCTTTAAGTGTTCATATCAGATTTATATCTTCTAAACACAAATTTTGGCACTGTTTTGACTTTTTTATATATTAACAACTAATAATATTAATACTAAAATCTTAACTTTATTTAAATTTCATGAGATCGTCAAGTAAAGTGTTGCTACAAATGTATTCAATACACGTGAACCAGCTAAATAAGATCTTCAGGGACACGTGTGCTGCGTTCCAAACGGGATATAGGCTATCGCCCTCAAGAGCTTTTCAGAGTAAAACAATCATGGCTGATTTTGCTGCTGTTTAAGTGCCGGTCCAAACTGAAGTGCTCAAAACTGGCCACTTTGAAAAGCCCTTTGAAATAAAGAATTTTAAAGGAAACAACTGTCTGACCCTTCGGTCCATGATCCTTAGAGCATTAAATTTTTATGGGTGTCACACACTGCATTCAATTCAGAAGGAGTCATCTCTATTCTCCAAGTGCCTCAGAGGAAACCCCCAAAGGGTTTAGGACAGGCGGGGGTACTAAATCTCGGTCCTGGAGGGCCGGTGTCTAGCAGACTTTAGTTCCAACCAAAGTGTGAACTGGGTGGATCCCAGTGGGGGGACCCCTCTATTTAACACTTGATCCTGCCTGAAGGACATCAAAACAAGATGTATGGGGAGATCAGCTCTTTAATAGAAATAGCTTTCTCTGATATATCTTAAATATTAATGATTAAAAATGTAAAATATGAATATGCATATGAATATGCATTTGAACCCCCCCCCCCCCCCCCCATTACGATTCATACCATTGCGAAAGCATCATTGAACTAATCAATGCTAAGAAAAATATATCATTCAACAGTCTGAATCTGGCAATTCTAGCACCGATAGACAACTTAAGTATTTACAAAACACGTTTCTTGTAAAAAAAAAAAAAAAAAAAAGGTGTTTATATCTGCATGTAGCCTAGAAAAAGAATTAAACACAATTTGTATAGTTTGACCTACAGTAACCTCACTAGTCACTAACATCCCTCAAAACATTGCAAATATATACATTTTATTAATGAATTAGATGTAATGTAAATACATTTACCAAACTACTACTGAAAAAGGTTGACCCCATCACCCCCACCCACCATCATCAATGTATAATTCGCACATTGGTTCCAACCTTAATTCCAATTAGACACACGGAAACCAAATAAGCTCTTTCTTGGTAATCAAGCTCTTTTTTTCTAGGTATACTAACTTTTAGACAGGTGTGTTGAAGAAAGTTGGAGCTAAATTATGCATGACACCATATTTGCCATTCACTTGACCATGAGGGTGAGTAAATAGTAAAATGTATGGGACCAGAACTGAACCGACTCTTCAGGAAAATGAACGAAAACCCCTTAAGTACGGTATGAGTTTAGTGGGATATGCTCAATGGAAATGTAAATTAAAGTGAGACTGTGCAGAGTGGGTGTTTTAGTACTCTGGGGGTCTCTGTGTGATTTTTCTTCTCATATGCCAGCACACTGCAAAGATGATCAGCAACAGCAGCAACAGCAACACCACAAACACGATGAAAATATCAGAGTTCAGCCACTGTGACAGAGAATCTCCTGCTTCCATCCCTACAACAAAGAATATTGAATATAATGGTTGCTCTTGTCTGTGTCAACATTTACATATCTAGTCAATAAAACATCAAATATACGCTACTAAACGTTTGTAATATTAATAATAAATAATGATATGACAGCTATGTCTAGCTATTCAAACTAAACTAGCTTTTTAACTTTGTAAGTGAAAAAACATAGAATTGTAACCATGCCAAAGATGTACAATAAAAGAAGATGGCCTACCTCTGATTTATTTAAAAGACGATCTCTTCTTTTGTTTTTCTTTTGTTCACCACAAGCTAGCGTGAAATATTTTGAGAAAAAATATCCAAACATTGTGGCCATGGCAATATTTCAAGTAAAAGCGAGGACATCTGATGATACCTGTGGGGTAAGTTTTGTTGTTGTTTTATTTCTCTTTAAAACGCAACAAATGTTCGTTAAACGGACAGAAAGAGGGCGCCAGATCCAGGAAAACGAATAAGAGACAGACAATAAGAAACATACAATGAGATGTTACACTGTTTGTTTATGCTTTGTAAAAACTGACTTAAATACGTAAAAGGAGACAATCTCGTTTTTAATAAATGTTTTTTTTTATTATTATAGCATAGTTAATCTTGAAAAGTTACAGTCAAATAATAGCACAATAAATCAGTAGCCTATAAAGTTATACAAAAATAGCACAAAAAAAAGGTAATGCAGGCGCTCTTTTAGACGACCATCAGAGGGTAGACACTCCCTTAAAACCCTTGAAACTCCCCTTTTGTTAATCGGTAAATCGTTTCCAAAGAGCTGTCAATATTCACTCTTCTCGCACACACAAACCCTTCTCCAAAATCTGCATCAACATCAGAGCTAATGAAGCCACACTCCTGATCTTCATCATCCTGAAAGAAAAAATAAAAACATATTGTACTCAGAATAACTGTCCCCCCCAAACCCCCCCCCCCACAACTGTGCACATAACAACAAGAATTATGTATTGTATAGGCTCCTTTTTAAAACTCAGTACAAGTCAAGAGGACAAGATCAATGTACAGAAAGTTACTAAAACAGAGGAGAATTGCGTTTGGTGAAAGAGGTTTTAATATGGATAGATTATATGTAATTTGGAACCAGCTGAAATTTGCGTTACAATAATCACTAAGGTGACTAAAAAATGAAGAATACAAGGATGGCTGTGGTATTGGGTGTAAGAAATGAACAAAGATGAAATGTGATAAACAAAATACTTGGTAATAATTTTATTGATTTTAGCAAAAACAAGTCCTCCTTACAAAGATAGAATAAATGTTCCAATATATTTTCAGTGCAACCACAAAAAAGTTTTTTTTTTTTAATATACAGCCACATTGCACTGCTACTCATGTGATATTGTGTTTATACAACAGTTTGACAGCATAATCGTGTATATAAAAAAGAAATTAAACACGGAGAGTCTCAAAACCTTTTTGTATGAGGAACTTCTTTCCTCCGCCATTCATTCACATCTGCAGCTGACTTCAGAACAGCAGAAACTAGTGTTTGAATTATTCTCTAGTGTAATGTCTAAAGTGATGACAAAACAGGAAAGTTTTTGCTCACATTAAGATTATAGGGCTGAACGTCATTAAATGCCATCTCTCCAGAGATTTCCCACTATTTCTCTGTTGTAATTGGGAGATCACAATAATTAACTCCAAAAAAAGTCAAAGCAATGCAAACACTACTAGATTACTGTTGTGTTTGCGAAAAGGAAAAACGCTAAACATATCTTCGTTCTTTCTTTTTACTGAACCAGTCTGTAGTTACGAAAACAAGAGATGCATTACAAACAGATGACCGACCTAAAAATAATACAGGGTTACAAAGAGTAGCCCAAACAAAATACATACATTCCTGAAATGTGAGTCCCATCTCACACTCAACACACTACAATATTATAATATAAACACAGCACTACAGCATACAAAAGAGAGATCAACTTAAAATGTCACTAGCCTGTTTAATAATGAGTTGATCAGTTGTAATTAGAAATTATGCTGAGTTTTTTGCTCTTTCGCCATCTTGTGGATGGACAACATCAATCGCCTGTGCTCTGCTCTGTATGACAGGCTCTTTGAAACTCCAAAATAATAAATATTTAAAATAGGCAATATCTTTATAAATAAACTGCATAGTTGCAATCTAAACAACTACATTCTCGCCTAAAAAAGCCTCAAAAATACATTATGTTGTCCAACAGCTGCAATAAATCTGTTCTATTTATATAAAACTTGTATATACTTCAAATGCATTACCACATATGATGATCCGGATCCCTCTGAAGGGGCTTGTAAGATCCAAAATGGCTTTTCATTGGTTCTGGAGATCAGCCAGCCCTGCCAGTGTACAGATGCGTCATTGTTTCATGTCAAAAGAATAATTTACACAGGTATTCATGTGGATGCAACAGAAGACTGAAGATTCTAGTTTTTTAAGATATTTTCAAAGGATATTAATAACCAAAAGTTATTTATTTATTTGGAAAAGGATACTCTTCAAAGTTGTAAAGGATCAAACCACATCACAAAATTACAAAAAACAGATAAGATAGCATCCACTCTATATTTTTAGAAAACAATTGTCTGAATGTTTTTTTAATTGCATTTAATTTTATTTTACAAAATTTAAAAAACAGATTTTATTTTAATAATGTTCATTTTATTATTAATTTAAGTTAAAATGAAATAATTTGAATACAGTACAAATTACGCCACTGTGAACTCAGCTTGCGAGTTCATGAAAATAATAACCAATTAGAGGTTATATAACACCGAATTCAAAATGAATTAATCAAACAAATTGTCAAAATTTTCATAAGCTCACTATATAATAATGTAAATAACTTTAATTTTGTTACGATAATAGAGCTCGTGGCAAACTGTTCACTTCTGTTTTTTTACATGTTTAATTGGTAAACATTTTTAAATACGGAAAAAAAATCTTTTGTACATTTTGCTTAATTGTTGTAATTTGTCTATCAATGTCTAAATACTAAATCAGAAAACATAAACTAATGTAGAGTTATTAAAAGATACAAAAAAGAGTGAACACCAAAAGACAGCTGTACCTTATTAAGCTCTGATACAGTGGCCAAGGTGGCATTTCTCTTTGAGCAGAAGCTTTTGGCAGCGTTACAGTCACTGTCGTCACTCCAGAACAAATAAAACACATTGTTGTACAGAAGCCACACTTCTGAAAGATAAACAATCAGTGTTAAATTTCTGTTAGTTCAAAAATAATCAATAAACATAATCATGTAGAAATCATGACAGTTTGTTTTGGGATTTGATTTAGATCAATAGATAGATGGAGAGATATTATATATAATATAAAAATCTTGATAGATAGATAGATGGATGGATGGATGGATGGATGGATGGATGGATGGATGGATGGATGGATGGATAGATAGATAGATAGATAAATAGATAGATAGATAGATAGATAGATAGATAGATAGATAGATAGATAGATAGATAGATAGATAGATAGATAGATAGATAGATAGAGACAGATAGACAGATAGATAGAGTGAACATCAAGGATGTGACACATCTGAGAAATTCAAATTATAGATTGTGTGAAACGAGATCTTCACATGTTTCACACATACTGAAAATTGGTTAGCAAAATTAGTTTCTTTTCGTCAATGGTAAAAAATCTAAATAAACCTGTTTGTCCTTTTATCGTTTGTTTTTCTTGGTTGTGAGAGTCTGGAGAAGAAAGCATGATATCCATAAATCAATTTGTCAACATTTAAACGCACTCATCATGATCACCATCCATTCATTTATAGATTACTTAAAGCATTAATAATTTCCAAATGCTGCCCTTGAAACTTACAATTTAAGCCCACAATGGCAAGGATGACGACCAAGAGAAGGATGTTCACGGCAAACAGTAAATACACATAATTCCCCTTACAAGGCTTTTCTAAACAGAGATAATTAGAGATTAATACACAAATAATAAATCATATAAAAGTCATGACTTTCCATTTAATTTACTCATCAGTTGTGTTTTGTTTTACCTGACTTTAGTCCAGTTCGGTTAACAGTTCTTCGGTCTGCTGGTGGAACATCAAGACTTTGGTAAATATCTTCTGTTTTAAGAGTTTCATTTATCTGCCTGCCTCTGTCCTCTATATCTGTATCACCGTGTTGTTCGTATTCATTCTGAGACACAGAAAAACGATGCTGCAGCTCCATCGTACTCACAACACTAAAGGCACAAGTGCTCAGCTACAGTACAAGTTAAAATATCGTCTACTCTGATGCTCATGAACTAAATGCAGTATAGGCTAATGTGGTTTGTGGTTGTGTACACACATGCACGATAACCGGAAATGTATTCTCTGTGACTTGGTTTTCTGTTCTCTTCAGGACTTCTGTTTAGTCTACTGTTTTTGTTAAATTTTATGATGACAGTGTGCTTGAATATACATGAAACAGAATACTGAAGATTCAGAAACAGGAAATAGTGGGAAGAATCATAACTATGATTTGCTGATCAGGAAATAAAAAGAAAATTACACAATTTGAGCAAACTGCCAAATGAAGCAGAAGAAAAAGAAAAAAAAAAAACTTACCAATCAGACCTTCAGCATTCAGTCTCTAGATGTTATTTATTTAATATAATTTTAAATAATAAAAAGAAAAACTGAAACAAATATATGTATACATGCCTCACAGAAAGAAGGTTGCTGGTTTGAGCCATAGCTGGGTCAGCTGGCATTTCTGTGTAGAGTTTGCATGTTCTTCCTGTGTTTGTGTGGACAGTATTTCCACTGGGTGCTCCAGTTTTCACCACAGTCCAAAAACATGTGGTATAGTTTAATTGAATAAGCTAAATTGTTTTGTAGTGTATGTGTGTAAATGAGTGTATGTAGGTGTTAGCCAGTGATGGGTTGCGGCTGGAAGGGCACCTGCTGCGTAAAACATATTCTGGATAAGTTGGCGGTTCATTCCACTGTGGCGACCCCAGATAAATATAGTAACTAACTCAAAAAGAAAATGAATGAATAAATGTATTCATGTTACACTTATAAACAGTGTTGGGGAAAGTTACTTCAGAGAGTAATGCGCTAAGTGCATTTAGCATACTAATTGCTAAGTAATGTGCTACCTTACTATTGAGTTACTTCTGTTTTACTTTTTCTGACCTGGCTGAGGCTTGATCTCTTGCAGAACTTGCAGGGTTTTTTCTTCTTCTTGTTTTTTAATAGAAGAGCTCTGCAATTAACAATGCACTGTTAAACCTATGCCTTTAATTACCTTTAAAAAAAAAACATAAAAAGTAAGATGTTATCTTCTGAGAACTTCTTGACCCCAAAGCTACACATGCCGTATATATACAGATCATCTACTTTTCTGCTTTTTGTCCATTGAGGCAATCTATGTTTTACCTTTTTTGATGCATTTAAAATAATGAATGCATTATCTTATTGTGTGCATGATTCAATGTGACTATTATCCTTTTAATTCAGCAATTATTAAAAAAAATCTAATTAATTAAAATAAAAATTAACTAATTAAAATAAAATTAAACAAATATTATTACTTTTTAATGAATGTGCTACTTTACTCATTTTATTTTGTAACTTGCGTTTCTTGTAATATGTTACCCCAACACTGTATATATACACACTGTGAAAAAACTGTAAAATTCGTCATGTAAAATAACAGGCGTTAAATTAAAAAACAATACAGCAAAAAAACAGACATTAAATTACAAAAAATTACTGTAAAATAGCAGTAGTTAAAAATACAGAAATTTACCAGAAATTTTAATTTATGGACATTTCTGTAATTTAACGGACGTTATTTTACTTTTTTTGGCACCCCAGCTGCCGGAAAAAAACTCATCATTTACAGATTTTTTACACTGTATGTTTATAGGGATAGTTGATTCAAAAATTTAAATTCTGTCATCATGTGCTCTCTCTTCACTTGACAAAATTATTTTGAGTTTATTTCTTCTGTTAAACACAAAAGCAGTCACTGACTTCCATATTGTAAATTCTCTCAATGGCTGTTTTTCAACAACATTTTTCAGAGTATATTGTTTTGTGTTCAGTTGGACAAAGAGAGAAAGTACTTGGAAAGTCACTTGGGTGAGTAAATTGCAAGGACATTTTCATTTTTAGGTGAACTATCAATCAAAGTCATTTTAAGGTTTATTTATTGCATGTCTAAGAAAGAATAAGTCAGAAAAGGCAAATTTGACTGATCAGGAAAATTTTCGATATTTCATAAACATTTTGGGAGATCTTCAAATAGTGCAATTGAACAGGCATTTGAACAGAACAAGAGCTTGAACAGAGAGTTATGTAGCGTGCTTTAAGGGTCTAATTTTCCTAATGTTGTAGATTTGCAGGATTTGTTTATTTTAATAATGTGTGAAGTTCAATTGATCATCAAACACAACTCAACACAAGGTCTTGGAATACAGTATGTTATGCAAAATACGCTACGGCTATCGTTTTAAACTCAGATTGTTAATGTTAACAAAAGTGTGTAGGTAGAAAGCTCATATTTCTCAGTACCACTTAAAAACGAAATATAAATAGAAAAATAAAATAAATAAAATTAACACTGTGAATCGGGCGAAGTATAAGGAGATTTAAACTCTGCCTGTACTTATAGCTTTTATCTGAAAGAGGTTATGGACAGCCTGCAGCTATAATGTTTACAGACATTTGAGAGTGATTTATGTCAGTTCCAGTCTGGAATGATTATCCTCATTCAACGGATCATTACTGACACCAGTATCATTCCTTATAACTGCCTGCTCTATGAAATGGTTGACCCTATTTTGACTGTTTTAATTAAAAAGCATAAAAGTAAATTAAAGAGTTTCTGTTTTAAATAATGGTTTACACACAGCATTGTTGGTTTACAAAAAAAAAAAAAAAAAAATTGAACAAACATAATCCTGTTGCTTGATTTTGGTTTTATTTTAAAAAGAAAAACTAAAAAACATGTTAAACGAGAATCTGAAATATTTTATGGCATCCTTCAAAACATAAAGATGATTTAGTATTCAAAAATGTTTTACTTTCTTACTTTCTTTCTTACACTTCATATTTTCAGATTTTTCAAAGCATTTGTATTCATTTCTGTACTTTTATTGTAAACCGACATATCTAGCATTTGGTAGATGCTGATCATTTAGAAATTATGGGATGTGTTAAAATAAAATGAGTTTGGTAAGTAACGACATTAAGAGTTAATGAATACAATCCAAACAAAAGTTACTTGGTGTCAAAAGGTTTAAGACAAATTTTAAATGGCACAAAATTAATATAAAATATATATAAAATAGTTTTTGGAACAATAGTTAGAGAGTTGACATTCATTAAAGCACTGCATTTAATCATGTGTTCAACACATTTATGTACTTTACATTATTTGTTAGGGTGACGCGGTGATGCAGTGGTTAGCACAAGCGCCTCACAGCAAGAAGGTCACTGGTTCGAGCCTCGGCTGGGCCACTTGGCGTTTCCGTGTGGAGTTTGCATGTTCTCCCAGCACTCACGTGTGTTTCCTCTGGGTGCTCGGGTTTCCCCCACAGTCCAAGGACATGCAGTAAAGGTGAATTGGTTAAGCTAAAATGTGCAAAGTGTACGAGTGTGAATGAAAGTGTATGGGTGTTTCCTAGTGATGGGTTGCAGCTGGAAGGGCATCCGCTGCATAAAACATATGCTGGATAAGTTGGCGGTTCATTCTGCTGTGGTGATCCCAGATTAATAAAGGAACTAAGCCGAAAAGAAAATGAACTAATTATGGGTTTCATGTAAAGAGCAGCAGAGGTCTCTAATGCTTCACGAAATTTTTGCCATGGTGTTGGCATAGGCGGGAGATACGCATTTAGCAGCTGATAATAAATAAAATGTGGCTATTTACCAATCCGCACAAGCTTTTTTATAAGACTTATTATCAAGTTCAAGTTAGAGCTAGAGATTCTCTAGACCTGTGATATTTAGAGAAAATTTGCCCACTCATGCATTCATTCTGCAAACCAGATGTAAAATGCTGAGTCACATGTATGTGTCCAGTAATTTAAATAAACAAGGTTTATAGCTCAGTTTCTGTCTGTACTGGACATAAGGAGGGTTACAACTGGTGTAACCCCTAAACAGAAAAGGCGATAGATTGTCGCATGTATGTCAGCCAGAAGTTACTAAATTGAAAAGTTTTTTTCCAAGCATGGAGAAGAGAAAAGTCTGTCCAGAGGTGTTTTGTCAAGCAAAGTATGTGGTGCATACGGAAATAAGAGAGAGTGTGTCCATTAAAATATACTACTAATTACTACATAGTACAAACATGTGCAGTTGCAGTGAGCTTAATTTTATTAGTTTAATAAACAATATAGAAAATCAATAACAAGTTCACTTGTTTTGTTCTGTATTTCAAATGTAAGTAAACAATGTTTTGGTTGGGAATCTAATTGATACATAAAAATATTTAAATGCTTTGTAATGCATCAGTGAAGTCTTGATCGCTGTCATTATCTGCTGCATCAGCTGAGACAGAGGGGTTCCTGTGGGTATTTAGTGGTTCAACACAGCAGCCTCTTTGGGTTAACATCTCCACAAGCTCTGTCGCATGTGTCTGCTCTGTCACAATCTTCAGGGTAAATCTGGATGGGTTGCCCGCGTCTGCACTGTTAACTGGAATAATCTCTATTTCAGCCATTTTCCTAGAGAAAAAGAGAGTGAGAGACGTTATTAATTAAATTAAAGGGGGCGGAGCATGTCAGATACTAGAGAGCCTTTGATTGGTCAAGATTTGATGAGAAACTGAAGTATGAGGTCACATGACTAAGACCGTTAATTAATTTGGGAGGAAGTGACAAACTTCAAGCTTTACATGTTTTTATCAGCTTTATATCTTCTAAACACAACTATTGTCACTGTTTTATAGCAATTTTACTAATAATATCTACCTTTATTTAAATGTCATGGGACCTTTAAATAAAGTGTTACTACAAATGTATTCAATGCATGTAAACCAACAAAATAAGATCTTCAGGGACACGTGTGCTGTGTGTTATAAACGGGATATAGGCTATCGCCCTTTGAAGGGCCATTCGGAGTGAATTAATCATGACCAATGATGCTGCTATTTAAGTGCAGGGGGTCAGCCCTTTAATAGTAGGAAATAGCTTTCTCTGTTCTATATCTTAAATATAAATAATTAAAAATGTAAATATAAATACACATTTGACCCACCTATAATGGTTCATACCATTGTGAAAGCATAATTGGGCAAT